TCATCACTCCCATGTCCTTGATGAAACTAAAATAACAGTACCCATTCTACCTGTAGTATGAAGTTGTGGTGTGAAGCAAATGAGGTGATGTGTGTGAATGTCCCGTGAAAACTGCCGCCACGCAGTTCATTAGCTTTATTTCAGAGTGAGAGACTTGGTTGGGCTGGAGTTTGTGAAGAAGGGAACTCATTGGTGCCCCTGAGCTTTGGCTTGGCCAGAACTGGATTGAGGTCCTAGGATGGCCATCAGCGTTAGGCCTGGAAAACTTGCAGCATGGCAAGTGACTAAAACATGGGTGCTTCCTCGCCCCTGGGAGGACTTGTGCTGCCGTTTCTGTGTTTCCCTGGCCGGGGGGGGGGGGGGGGGGGGGGGGGGGAGGGCGGGCACATGAAATAAGTTTCCCTGGTTGTTTGATTTTGAGAGATCTGAAGGGAAATATTTTTATATTTCATGCATATCACAGTTTTCACTGGGTTCTTGTTGAAAATAGTAAATTTCTGTGGCCCTTCATCAAGAGATGACAAAAGGCTGGGTCTGCCAGTTTGTCTCTCGTTTAATTGGATACATTGAAACTCCTTTTGCCCAATTCCTTGCCTTCTTCTTCACATTGTCCCCACTTGGCATTATAGTTCAGTCATCTTAAACCTTTTGGTGTGTTTGTAAAACATTAACTATCATCAGACTTGTCAGTTTGTTGTGTATGTATGAGAAGACCAAATCAGGGCCATCAGGGTCTGCACTTGATAGATGTAAGTGGCAATGTCAGCCCCACCAAACCATGGCATTTTACTTCTTAAATGTTTATAGAAGCTTCAGATAATCTGTAGGAAGAGATTAGGACTTTTCTTCTTAGAGTATTTCTTGGGGGATATAATGAGTAGTTGCTTATATTAGTGTAGTGTATCTATTTCCTAGAAAATTCTTTTAGATGAAGAATTTTGGTAGTAGTCACTAGTTTCTAGAAGTTTTTGAACTAGAAGGGACCACAGAATGTATGGGCCACCTTGGCCTTCAGTATGGCAAAACTGAAGACTGTTGGAGATGCAAAACCTTTACCCTTGTGAGGACAACCAGCCTGTCCTAGTCTAGTAGCTTCTTCATGGAGTTTGATTGCTCTGTCAAACCATTTTTCCTGATATTCAATCAAAATCTCTTTTAAGTCCACTTTTCATATACTAAGTCATCCATGGTGATGGAGACACACTTAGCCTCATCCTTCTCGGACACTTCGCTCCAATCTCGCCTCTGTTTACTCTCACTGCCACTGTCTAATTCACATTCTGATTGTGTCTCACCTAGACTGCAGCCCCAGCTTCCTAAGATCTTTGCTGCTATTGTCTTTACATTCAATGGTGCTTCCAAATTCGTAGCCCTGAAATGTATGTGTCCCATACCTTTATAATGCTTTACAGGCTAGTGTCCAGGCTTGTCAGTTTCATGACCTGGACAGTATGTTAGACAGTATTTCTGTTGAGAATGGCATTAAATCCTAAAACATCAGTGGCTTAAACAAGAAATTTATTTCTATTTCATATAAAAGAAGACCAGAAGTAGGCAGGCTGGGGCTCTGGAGCTCATTACACAGTCTTCAGCTCATTCTGTTGTGCTGCTCTACAGAGTAGAAAGCACCTATGGCCTCTGGGACCAAGGTGAGCGCTTGGGGTTCAGCTGTCACATCCACATTCCAGCCAGCAAGAAGGAAGACTGGGCCTCCATCCTTTAAGGATACTTCCTGGAAGTCACTTACTCGCAGCACTTTAACCTCCATTTTATTCGTCAAAACTTAGACATGTACACCATATTTAGTTGCAAGAAGCCTGAAAAATGTAGTCTTTTAACTAGTTTACCCGGCTAAAAATTGGAGTCCTGGTTGCCAGAGAAGAAGAGACTAGATCATGGGCAGTAACTAAAATGTCTGCCATAAGACCTTTCTGCCAGCCCTGTTCCTCTCCCCACTCCAGAGCCTTCTCACCTAGCCCTGGTGTCTTCAACCTGCCGATGACTACAATAAATCTCTTACTAGTCCTTTACCTGCCAGGCTCTTTCACAGCTCTGGACTTTTAACCTGCAATGCCCTTTAACATTCTCCTCTCTCAGAACATCTATACATCCTTCAAGCCCAGGTTACTCCTCAGTGAATCTTTCTTATCTCCAGTGACAACACAGTCCTTATCACTGGAGCCATGTGGCAGTGGAAGAGCTTTATGAACTTAGTAGTTGAATAGACTTGGGTTCAATCTCTTCTCCCCAGCTTGGCCTGGAAAGTATAAATGTGGACGGTCTCAGCGTTTAAACCGTGTTTGAAGCCACAGCGCAGACGTCTCTTTTTGAGTTCCAGACGTTTATATTGAAAAGCTTACTCAACATCATCATTTGAAGGTTTCCTTGGTGGCCTCAAATAGAAACACCTTTGAAGTAGAACTCGTGATGTTTGCCCCCTCCTCTAGTCTTTCCTGGACCAGTAATGGCGTCTCTATCAGTGCAGCTGCAGATGTCACAAAGCTGGAAATAATCCTTCACTTCTCATAGCTAATGATATCTGATGACCACCAAAATCTATTTGTTCAACTCCAAAATATGTCTTATGTTGTTCTTTTTAATTCCGTCTGCAGTGCCTACTTCGTACCATGCTCGCATGTCTGGACTTCTGTGGTAGCTCTTCACTGGCCTTCCTAACTCCACTCTTGGCTTGCTGGAACGGCGCTTTGGGCAGTGTCATCTTGTACAAAATCCTTAGCCAGTGTCCCATGGTATTTAGGATTCAATTCAGGATGCTTAAATCCTACAAGACCCCAGCTGACTTGACTCTTGCTACCTCTCATTCCCGTCCCTTGCCATGCCCTTCCTCCTGCTTACTCTGCTCTGGCTCTGTGGTTTTCTTTCTGTTCCCTGTTTGTGCCAGAACTTCCCATCTCTGCCTACTCCCAAGTGCCATTTCCCACCTGGATATTCTGTCCCTTTCTTCACTCCTGTACACACCATCCTCAGGTCTCCGCTTAAATGTCACTGCCACACAGGGCCTTTCCCTGACCCCTTTATCTAAATTGCGTATTGAGAGGATTCTTCCTCTTTGGAACTATTCTTTCCTTCTTAGCCTTCATCACAACTTATAACTTTATATTTATTGAGTGGTTATTTATTGAACATCACTCACACAGTAAAGTAAATGTTCTGTAAGGGCTGGAACCATATTTCTTTTATTCAGTACTGAATCCATACTGCCCATTGCTCAATAAATACACATGGAACAAATGAATAAACGAAGAATCTTGTGATTAAACAATGTGGTTGATTCCCTCATTAAACTGACAACTTTGCTATTTAGCGTCGCAAGATGTAGTTGTTGGAAACCTATTAAGGTGATTCACCTTCAAACCTGGCATTGTGTCTCTTCACATTTGTTGAATGTATCTGTGATGCTCTCCTGCAGGGCTATAAACTTCAGTTTAATTTATTAGCATGCATCTTTGAACAAAGCTTTATTTCTGTCAGGATATCCTTATGAACACAGAACCTGAAAAGGACATGTTCAGGTGTGGTATCTGAAAATCATGATTGGGCTCACTTCCATGGCTTGCCTCCTTCCTCTGGATGCAACCTGGCCTAACCTTTGGAACAGAAGACTTGCTTGTTGTTGGGATAGAATCTAAAGCAACAGTCATTTTAAGTTGGAAGCATCAGCGACCGTAACAGAAGGCTGCATGCCCGGGACTGGGGCTGCCTTAGCAATCCCCTCACTACCCTGTCTTGATCGCCAACTCTCGAGACTGGAAACTCAGGTGGCAGATACCTCGGCAGAGCGTGCTGACTCACTGGTAACCCCAGCCTCCTAACCTTTCCTGAAGGACCTTGTTCTGCAAAACACATTGGCAAGATACCTTATGGAACAGATCAACAACTTGTATGTGGTTTTTTTCTCCCCAAGAATAAAAAGATATTGTCCTGGAAGCAGCTAATGATCTTGTAATTCTGAGCTATGGTCTAAAATAAAAGATGAATGTCCTCTTTTACTGATGGACAGGGTGATCCACAATGGGAAAGTTTTCGTTTGTTTTTTTCTTTTTTAGAAAACAAGGAGCATTCTACTTTCAGTGGGCACTATGGTAGGTATATTTCAACATAGATGGAAAAGCAAACAGTCGATCATTCTTAAGCCCCAGTAGGTCAGATCATGTCAGTGTTTCCAGGGTACACCCAGAATGGTAAAAATTGGCCTTAAGTTGAGCCTTTGCTGAGAACCAGCCAGCCCTGAAAAGGATTTATTTATTTATTTTGGCCTTGATAATGTCTAAATGATAAGTGCAAGTCCCTCTTAGCTGTCTGGAGTGGGTCCCACATGAATTGGTTGTGACCCCTAGAATCCAGAAACTCCAGTATAGTTGGATAAGAATATTTAGTGAGGGAACTTGAAAGTAACACATGAACATACAAGATATTAAATGTTCAGAAGTGTGTAATTTGCTGCATTTGTTCATAAGTGGTTTTAATAGTTCTGGTACAGAGCCTAACTCTCTCTCTTTATTGGGGAGATGTGGTTTCAGTTTCTTGGGTGAATGTGCATTTTATAAGTTCTAAAGAAAGGATGTTAAACATTAAAAGACTTTAAATACTTTACTCTTTATTTAATGTCACTAAGAAAAGCCAGGAAAATTAGGGTTGGCTTATTTATTTATTTATTTAATAAATATAATCTATTTTCCACCATTTTGTTTGTTATGGCTTAACATAGCTTGATGTTCTCCACTTGTATGACACTTAGCATATGAATAACATTAAATAGATCAAATGTGGCCTGCTGAGTAGGAGCATTCATGCAGGTTGGTGATGTGATTGACCTTAGCTAAGACCCTTAACCACTATGGGCCTGGGGTTCCTTTTCTGTAAAATGAATAGTTGAGAGTAAATGGTGACCTGAATTTAAAAATCTCCTGAGTCTGTACGCCTAATAGATATGCATCTGACTGATTCCTCTTCTCTTTTTCCCCCTCTTCTTGATGTAGGCAAAGAAGATGCTGATGCGCCAGTCACAAAAGATGAGAGTGCCTCCATGTCACAGGACACAAGAGCTTTATCAGAGAAGTCGCTGCAAAGATCAGCAAAGGTCATTGCAGACAGATTTTCTGCGCTTGTGCAAATGACTGTCACCTGTGCTACCTGTCAAAGGTCTCTCATGCGATTCAGTTAGGACTCTAGGTGGTCAGTTAATCCGAGAAGTCAATGGAAGCAAGGAGTCCTAAAACGCTAATATTTTTTTATAACTTGAAGTATATACATATATGTTGATTTGTTTGTGTTTGGATGAAGGTCCAAAGTCTTCTCTTTGTGTGTGGGAATGTTTATTGAAGTTTTGCATTATCTTTTTCTGCTTAAACCACACTTATAATATGACATCTTTGATTTCCACTTTGGGTTATGTAAAATGGAGTGAGAATTTAGGCTCTAGTGAAGCAATAGGAATGTGGACTCCTTCTAGATTCTTAGTTTTTTGTTTTATTTTTTTTTTGTTGTCATGTCCATATCTCATTCAAAAGCAAGTTTTTAATGTCTTTTTTAGTTTTCCCCAAGTATGTAATTTAGTTATTATAGGCATACAAAATTTGCTTTGTATCCTGTCTTTGTTGCTTTGCATAATTCAATTTTGTTTTTCAACTGTATAGCTAGTGGCATATTCAGATATGGTATCAGACACAGCCGCCCCAGCTATGCAGATAGCTCGGGAAGATGTGGTTCAGCGAGTGGAGTAAGCATGAGGCTTTCTCTACCAGAGACACCCTTCAGCATGTTTAACCTGCTCTGGTGGTATTGCCACTCAATCTAGCAAATTGGTTAGGATGGTACTTCTTGCATAGTGACTTGAGGAAATTTCTAAATTATATCACATATACGTTAACCCTCAACTGCCTGTCCAGTTATTTTAATAAGCATTTTGAATACAAACTGTATACCAGGCAGCATACTAGGTAATGAAGGGAAAGCCTGTGGGATGGATCTGGCTTACAGACTTGTGTTCTGTTTGACCTGTGCAGCGTTTAAAAATTCTCACTAAGTAGCTTACTAAAAAAAATCAGACTTCTGGCTTCTCTTGACAAAACAAAACATCCGGCAACACTGGGCCACGTTCTTACATGACTTTAGTTGGAGCTGAGTACGGGCAACCCTCTGTAGATGGAACTTGTGTTCTGCAATTTGCTGCTGCCCCCCAATGGTACCCTCTCTCTTTCTGGGTTGGTTTGTTTTTTGGGATAGTTTCTTAGTGAATTAAATCTAAAATCGTAGGGCAAAACAGCACTTGTCTGCAAAACTTACTTGCTGTGGTCAAGTCATTTCCACTGCAGCTGATGTATGAATCACGAGTCATGTCAAACTGCCTCCTACACTTCTCCTGCTGTCAGATATTAAAACAAGAAGCAAGGACTTCTAGTTCAGACAAGATGGCATAGACTTGTTTCTCCTTGCTCTTTCCCACCAGGATAACTATAAACCCTGGAAAATAACAAGAGGCAACCATAGATGAATTCTGAAAGGTGAAGAGAGGAAGGCAGGGTAGGTAGGGCCTCAAAGACTAGAGGAACAACATGGCAGCAGAGAACCTCTCCACCAACAGGAGACCGGGCCCAGTGTTTCTGGATCCAACCTGGCAACAGAAGGTGGCTCCAGGCAGACTCGGTCCTCACTCAGATCTAGCAGGAGTCCCTCCAGCAGCCCCAGGCAATCCTGGCGCTACTTGCAAGAGGGATTGACTGGGAGCCTTGCTGACATTAAGTGGGCAGGAGAAAGGCTCCCCTTTCCTGCCACAGCTGAGACTTCTCTCCCCGACCCAAGACACACCAGACATCGGGGTGGCTCTGGTAGCGGGGATCCTGCCAAAGAAGTGGCACAGCCCCGGAAGCCTCTTTGTCCCTTTGTGCCTGAGATTTCCCTCCTCCCTGCCCCCCATCCCGAAGTAGCAGATGGTGAGAGAACACCTTTAGGGGAGACCCTCCTGCATCAGGGTGTGGTCCAGGAAACCTTATCCTCATTTATCGCAGGGGTCTGAGACACCCGTTTCCTACCCAGAGACACTGGGCAGTCAGGTGGCACTGGTAATGGGGGTCCTACCACAATAAAAACCTTAAATGGGAAGTTTCTTTGTCTACATGGACATGGATTAGGATTTGTTCTTAATCCATATTAGAGAGACCAGGTGGCCAGCCCTGAGGAAGTTCTTTCCATGCCCTCAGGCAGTACCAGCAGAGACCGGCGGGAGCCCCAGAGGCTCCATGTCAACCAAACATATCAAAGTAGTACTGCAGAGTCTCTGAAAATCAAACTGTCATTGGAACTACAGCCCACAAATGTAGTCCAGGCCCCCTATGCTTGTGACACCGAGACACAGTGGCCTGCCTTCTAAAAGATTTAAGTAAGACCCTGAATCTCCTCTTATAAAATCTGAAAGGTCCCGGATACAACAGAAAATCATTCATTACACCAAGAACTAGGACATTATCACATGAGTGAGGAGATGTTACTGTTCTCTGACAGTGATTTTAAATATGCTTCAACAAACAATTAGAAATTCTCTTGAAGCAAATGAGAAAATAGAGAATCTCAGCAAAGAAATAGAAGTTATAAAAAAGAACCAAATGGAAATTACAAAACTAAAAGATACACTAACAGAAATAAAATACTTGCAGGATGGACTCAATAGGAAAGTAGCATAAAATTAGTTAACTTGAGAACAGATCAGTAGAATTTACCCAATATGAACAAACAGAAAATAGGCTGGAAAAAAAAATTAACAGAGCTTCTGGAAGTTGTGGGGCAGTACAGTAGATTCAGCATTCAAATAATTGGAGTCCTTGAAGGAGAGGATCACCAAGAGAATGGGGCTTAGAGATTGTGCTGACTGGGAACAGGTAAAAAAAAAAAAAAAAAAAAAATTAGAGATTTTGAGATCAGAGCAACAGTTGTATAACGTGAATATGTAATGGTATCCATCTGTATCATTGTAATTCTCTTCTGACGGACTCAATAGCTTGTGTGTTTTTTTTTAAAATATTTTTATTTATTTCTAGGGGAGAGAGAGAGAGATAGCGTGAGCAGGGGAGGGTCAGAGAGAGAGGGAGATACAGACTCTGAAACAGGCTCCAGGCTCTGAGCTGGCAGTCAGCACAGAGCCCGACGCGGGGCTCGAACCCACGAACCGCGAGATCATGACCGAAGTGAAAGTCGGACGCTTAACCGACTAAGCCACCCAGGCGCCCCTCAATAGCTTGTGTTTAAGTAGAGAAGAGCAGTGGCTGAACTGTCCCAGAATTGAGGATATTTTAGAGCACGTGCAGTGGAAGGGCAAGAGGGGTGAGGCATCTTGTGACGGTGGTGAGAGGACTAGAAGTGACAGAACATGATGTGTCCCTCTGAGGTAGGAAGGGACTCAGGCCTGAGAAGTAGCAAACAGACGCAGAGGACGGGTTAGAGTCAAGGCACCGGTAGTCATGATGTGGTGAGGAAGCCATGAAGGGGCACAGAAGAAGGGAACTGGATGACAGTTGGGATTGGATCAGTCCCAGAGGGTGCTGAGGCCATGAGCATGAGTTGCTAGAACCAAATGGAAGGGAAGGCCACCAGCACTGAAGAGATACAGAGGCTGTAAGGACAAGATCTTGGCTGAGTCATTCCCCTGGAAATGTAAGCCAGATATTGCAGAGTAACTAGGAGGTCCATGGATGACAGCAACAAGAAGGGGACAGCCTGGACCATAAAAGGATGCAGCTGTCTGCACGAGGCAAGAAGAGTAAATGGTCTGGATGTGCCCGTGCCGCATGGGAAGACACCCATACCTCATTCGGGGCTGTGTGGAGAAGGAGCGACCTTTGTCCAACGGGCCTGGGGCAGACAGCGTCCTGGTGACAGAGAAGCGCATACGAGGAGCAGGTCAGGGACTCTTGACAGAGGGCACAAGAGCTTGTTCAAAACAGAATGGTGTTTTCCAAGGGGGAAGGAAGAGTTAGGAGAACACAGAGCCTACTGGGGGATTGAGACTGGACAAGAGGACAGGTGCCTTGTGGGGCGGCAGCCGGGTGTGCCTGGGGCAGAGGAGCGGCACACTGGCTGGTTGGAGGTTCTGCCTAGACAGGCTGAGTGCCCTCATGGAGTCAGAGACGGGAACAAGAGCAACCATCCGCACAGCGGTGTCTGCACCTTTGCTCAGGGGTCAAAGTGGGATGCTGGCAAGTACTTCCAGTGAAGAGGCCGAAGTGCGGAGTGTCTGTGCGGGGTAGGGGCGGCACTTCAGGAAGAACTCCCCGGGGAGGGGGAGGGGATCTGCTTTCTTAAAGACTTCTCTCTTGGTGGAAAGAGTCTGTCCTTGTAGTGATGTGGTAGCCTGAATCGTTGCCTGAGTGAGTGGGTTTAATGTTGGAAAGAAGGAAGGTTTAAAGGTTTCCAGCCTCAAAAGGCATACTAAAGACCAGTTCCTTGTTTGTGTTTAAAAACATTTTTAAAAAGCAACTGCTGTGTCATTCGTGTGGGAAAAATGAAATGCAGAGCAATTACTTGGGGCCTTATTTCCCTGCCGAAGTCTTCCCACTGTCCTTAGGAGATGGGTCTTTGTTATGAAAACACTTCCATTGAATTCATCCCTGTGTTGCATAGTTTTCGTTGGATAAGTATGCTCACTGGATACTTAAGTTGCTGCACGTTAAATGTGGATTACTTAGTCATGGAGCATCACCAAGAGGTGCTTCATTTGGACCTAGAAAAACTGCAGGCTCAGCTAGTTGACCAGATAATATCCTGCTGACTTCTCCCAGCTATTATCCAGTCCTGTAGATAAACAGCATTTGACTATATCTTTGGTGTTTTCAGGTGGTTTACATCTTGGACAAAAAACACTCCCGAGCAGCAACGGGCTTTCTCAAACTCTTGGCTGATAAGAACAGTGAACTGTTTAGGAAATACGCCCTGTTTTCTCCCTCGGACCACCGAGTGCCTAGAATTTATGTGCCTCTCAAGGACTGTCCCCAGGACTTTGTGACCCGGCCTAAAGATTATGCCAACACGCTGTTCATCTGCCGCATTGTGGACTGGAAGGAGGACAGCAATTTTGCCCTGGGGTAGGTGACCTTTGGCAAGAAAAACCACAGATCGCAGACGGATGTCGGTTTAGGTAGCCTTTCGGTAAACTTTTTTGTGTACTTTAATTATTATTTCTTTATTAAAACATGGGTACTTGGCATATTTGGGTCCTAAGTTTTCAGAAATTGCTCTTAGCTACCCCCTTGACTGGTCACCTGTAGGTTCCTTGAATTGCCAGGCAGTTTGGGACATAAATTGTAAGTGCGTTCTGAGCTTCTCCTTATTTCCTATTATGTCATGAATCCTTGTGAACTCCAAGGAATTTATTGCATCAAACAATCAGACAACTCCTTTTAGACGCTAGTGTTAAAATATGCAAAATTCCAGGCATTTCGGAGGACCTCATTCTCCCATGCTTTCAAATACAAATATGAAGGTATATTTTAATGATGTGCTTTTTTGGTATTGATCCTTCAGAGGTTTTACTTAGGGCAGCAAAAACTAAATTACCTGACTGTAAGTAGGAAAGGGTACCCTACTTTCACGGAAGCGGTCAGAACCCAATCTAACTTAACTATAGAGTACGTAGTCATAGCTCATCATGGTAGCCACTTGAGCAGTTTTGATCTGAAGAAATTGCTGGACCCAGCTGTCTAATCAAATGTGACACCTGTTTTCTTATAATTATATCCATTTTGAGAGAAAAACAATAATAAATTTTAGCTATATTTTTAGCCCTTTATTATGGATGGTGTCCAGTTTATGTTTCACACAAAATAAAAATAAAGGTGTACAAGCTAGAAAAGTTTATTCTTATACTTACTTTTAAGCCGTTTTGGTGATTTGCTTGTTAAGTTATCTGAGAAAGCCCTTCTGAGAATGTCCTGTGATTGTGAGTACCAACACTGAATGCATGGCCGCAAGGTACTGCTTTTATTGGATTTGTTCTATACTTAGCCTCTTAGGCCTGGCAAAGTAAGGCGGATCAGATCTGTGTGTTACACCTCATGCCACTTAAGAAATTACTGTCCTGTGCCACTTTTTCAGTGATATGAAGACCAATGTGATTTATATGATCTCAGAGGCACTCGGGAACAATTCCACTTTCTTTTTTTTTGCTTTCAAGTGGAGAGATTGCAGTATAATTTTTATGGCCAACACATTCCAAAAGTGACATCAACCCCTTGAGTCCTAACTAGTCCTTCTCTGAGGCTTGCCAGTTTCTCACCATCAACTCAGGCCTGATAATGGCTGTGCCACCTGGCCCCTGTTGATTGTGCCTGCCGCCCTCTGCCTGGCAGTGAAAAGGGAAGACATCACATCACAGCAGGAAGTCCAGCCTTGTCTTTTATCTGCCTTTTTGTCATATCCCATTGTGTATACTTGATTGGACTACTTCCTTAGTTATCGAGTTGTATGGGTGTAGTCAAGAAATCTTCATGATGTGAGTTTTTTTATTGCTGGAATCACCTTACAGGGTCTTTTTTCACAGCTGAGCATTACTTCATCAAGAACTCTTTCCTTGTGGGCAAATTACAACAACTGAAAAAGGAGTCAAGCAGCGAGACTATTTGCTGAATCTAAAGAAAGAACATTTTAAAATAATAGCCATATATTAATCATGTACTTCTCAAAATAAAAATATACTTAGATGGAAACCAGCACTAATTTTTCTCTGCCTTCCTCGTATGAAGACGTTAGAATTTATCATTAGGTAAATATGCCTTTTAAGATCTTTGTGAAGAAGAGAAAATTTATCTTAATAAAGAAAGAAAATGTAGGTTTTCATGACAAAGTCCTCAGATGACTTCTGTCTCCTGAGGGGTGCAGGCCACAGCTGTTGAGCCTGTTGGGGGTCGCCTTTGCCATTTTGTTCTATCAGCTACTGATCTTTAGGAATGGAGGTCACTGCTGCCCAGTCAGAACATGCTGTTCTAGGATGGCCTGTCTTTCCTCTTTCATCTTTGCCAAGTTTTAACCAGGAGTGTGAAGGTAGTACTTGCTGTGGATGTGAGTGTCTGTGGTTAGCTTCCCCAGAAACTCTGCCTACAAACTGAGGTGAGCCAAAGCGGCTTCCTTCTGAATGTCTTCCCTGCCCCTGCTCTCTGCTCATAAAAGTTTTGAACTTCTTCTCTCTCTGTAACTGCTACCAATTATTTAAGTCCAAAGTCATTTACTTCTTCTGCACTTCAGTTCATGAGACAGATATTGATCAATTATGTGTAAGTCACTATGTGAGAAAGGCAAAGGCAAACAAGGTACAGTTCTTTTATTCAAGGAAAGTATAGCCTAATGCAGAAGGATTTGTATGTAAATGTCATAGGGTTAATTTGATTCTAAGAAAAGGAATCCAACTTGAGCTAATTTAAATAAAAGTGGAAATTAGTGTGAAAAACTCGTGGTTCTCCTAAAACCAAGAGCAGGAAATGGAGGCAGGCCTCATGAGGATCTCAGAACTAACAAGGTGGCACAGGAATCACAGCTTCTCTCTCAATGACCCTGACAGGTCCAGCCACCACATGGTATCTTTTCTGTACCCCTTTCTGCCCATGAGCTGGATTGTTCTGCAGCTCTCCCCACAGCAGCCAGCCTGTCAACATGGCCCCCAAGTGGTACTGCCAGTCTTCTGCAGGTCACATACTGAAGTCTAGGTCATGATACAGAATTTCTAGGGTAGAAAAATCTTATTGGTCTAGCCTGAGACAGTTATTTGCCCTGATCAGTAGTTTTAACCAGAGGTAGTGGTCCAAGGTCCCATGGCCCACCGTCCAATGGGGAGGGACTATGTGGGACTTGAATCTCTGGGAATAAGTGTGGATAAAGTAAACAGACTGAATGGCCTGTCTCTTTTACCTCTAGCTATAGTATGAAGCAGAATATGGGAATAAAGTTGTTTTCTGGAAGTTTAGAGTAGGCGGGTGAAGGGAGAAATCTAGGATTGTTTCTGGGAGAACGGAAGCCCCTTTGCTGAAAGATCGCTCCACCTGAGAGTCGGGAGTGGACCAGCGGGGACGCGACTGAAAGCAAGCAGTCATCACAGACTATCGTGTTAACACAGGAGACGGGGAGAACCTGAAGTAAATGGGTTGCAGGGAAGGAAGCTAAAGGAGTGAAAAAATTCAGGGGAACTGAGGGTCCTGACCGATTAGAAATGGGGCATGAATGAGAAGGACAGAACTGTGGATGAACTTGCAGACCTCTGACTTGAGTGTTGCTGGGGAGACGATGATGGTGTTTACCCACAGTGCACTGCGAGCAGCCTCAGCTCCTACCATGCTCTTCTCCTTTGCCTCATTGCTTGCTGTTTCCCAAGCTGGCTGTGTGTGTTCGTAGCTCCAGACTCTTGCACACCACACTTCCCTTCCCAGCAGTGCCCTTCTCCTCTCCCTGCTGTTTATTTAGAGAAATAACTCCACTTTTAAACTTAACTCCGTTGTGTACTTGAAAAATGTTCCCTGATTCCACCCCCCTGGGTGCCCCCATAGTTTGTAATACTCCTCTTATTGTTGCTGTGGCCTGTTTGGATTGTAATTGCTTATGTAAGTTTTTACTTGACCATGAGTTCCTTTAGGACAAGGATACTCAGTGAACATTTGCTGGCTGGTTCAATGGCCTTAAGGAGGCCATCAATCTTGGTGCCCCCTTCCGTGTAAGCATCGCGTTTCTGGCGCCCCTCGTTCCACTTCGGTGCCTCCTGTGAGGGGCAGCCCGAAGACTGTTAGGGTACTGGAGACCTTTGGGTGTTAGAAAGTTATTTTTCATCTTGTTCTCAGAACTGTCACGAGAGATCTCAGTTCAGCTTTGTTTACTTCTGTACATCACATCTACCACATTTTCGGGACTCTTCATCCTATAATGCTAGCAAAAACCTGAAGGTAATCATTCTTAGTGAACCCTTGCTGGCTTTTAGGGATCACTGCTTTTTGTTATGCATCACAACATATTTAATACTTTTCCTATTTAGTACTAGGCTTTTGTCCAGGATACTTAAAAAGCCACAGTGGCTTCCTCGCTGGAATGAGTTGTAATTATGTAATCAGATTTACAGTTTTAAGAGCTTCCTAACCCTCTTAAATCATCTTTCCCTTTAGAAACTCCTGCAGTGGAATTCATGCCTATATTTTCTCAGACCTTTGTGAAATCTGCTGTCCTAAAGTCTAGAGTTCGTAGTCACAGCCTTCCCGTCCAGGGTGTCATAGCATGGAGATATTGTCATGGTTTGTCATGGTTTCTTCTTCTTGAATATCTAAGGATAAATCTTGAAGAAAATGGAAACGTTGTAGAGCAGCTACTGTGAGGAACATGGTAGTGTTTCTTGGCAGCACTTTAGACTAACTGAACATATGTAACTTGAGTTGACCTAGAGTAAATAGACATATTTATATTATTTGCTCTAGCAAAGTTTGGTAGCTTTAAGGGACAGGGAGAAGGAAAAATAAACAAGTCAGTGCAGGTATAGCAGGATTGGGAAATTTAGGGTTGAACTTGGGATTGTCTAGGCTTAGTGGGAGGCTGTTGAAATAGAGAAATAGACAAGGAGTCACAGTGCTGTTCACTTTAATGAGAGTGAAGGACAGCAGCTTCCATTGGAGAGAGTGGCTGGGTGAGATGAAGGGAGGGAAAGGAAGTTCTGATTGGTGACACATGAGGAGGAGGAAGCAGTTGGTCAGAGAGACGGGTGATCTGTTCTGGTATCTTCATCTTCCAGCTTTGACCAGTAAAGTGCCAATTCAAAGCTAGAAACATGTATTTATTGACTGTTGGAAACAAATATACTTTACCTTAACATCCCATTCAGTTTTGATAGATACTAAATTTCTTAATGAAGTTGATCTAAATTAGGGAGGTGGTCGTTAAATTATATTAAAATGTATTTAGTAAGAAAAAGAGGTAGTAACTAGGTTGTTAGAAAAAAAACCCAGAAGAAATTAGTTTCATTGAGGCATAGCCTAGAAGATTAGCAAATTGAAAAAGAGCTCTGTCTAATCTTTCCCTCTGTGCAAAAGGAGTACTTCACCTTATCAAGAGTATGTTCTTT